AATATACACACACACACACGGATATACATATATACATGCATATGTATATATATTTTGTGTGTGTATATATTTTTCTTGTTTTGTTAGCAATTTGCTGCTTTTAGCATTTAGTTAGTGTTTAGCTCCTTGTAGCATGTAGCTAGGGTTTTTCTTCTTTTAGCTTTAATCTGTTTTTCTGTTTTAGTTTTAACTGACTTTTAGCTTCTTCTGTAACCTTCAGCTGTCGTTCAGCTCTCAGCACTGTTTCCCGTGTTTGAACTCAGCATTTTAGCTGTTTTCTGGCGTCGGCTTCTCTCTGCGTGTCGTTTAACACAAACCGGTGGTTCTTTCTGTTTGTTGTCAGATTCACTGGCCCGCAGCTCCAGAACACGTGGAACGCTGCAGGGCAGCAGGGAAAAGTGTGGAGGTGAGAGCCGACACCCTCCGAACAAGAACGGACGTTTTCATGAATCTCTCGTCTTTTAGCTCGTGTGCACCCGACGTGCGCCTCTACGGTTTTACTCTTCAGGTGAAGACGAATCTTTCCGTTCTGTTTGTTTTCAGACGGACTGCGCCAACTTCGTGCGTCTGCTGCAGCCGTTCAACAAGACTCACGTTTACGCCTGCGGGACCGGAGCCTTCCACCCACAGTGCACGTACGTGCACCTGGGCCACGGCGCAGAGGTACGACTCGTCCGTTCGAACGGGCCAGAACTTTGACCCATGTTCTTGTTTTTACTCGAGTGCACGAGGATTTTATTCCTTAAGAACTCTTTCAGACGTTTTCCTGTTTTATTATAAAAAGAACCGTTCCTTTAACGCTCTGTTGTTGCACATGTTCCTCCTCTAACGTAGTTCTCATTTTGAAGTTTCACATGAACCTCCTGGACCTGACGAGACTCTGGTGACGCCTCGTCAGGTCCAGAGCCGACGTGTTTCAGGACAAAAGTACAGAAAACCTTTTCTGTGCTGCTGGTACCAGATCTGGACCAGGACTGAGGAAGACTTCAGGCAGGTCTGATTGTGGTCTCTGGGTTTTGGTCGGAGCTGCCTGGTCCGTTTACAGATTTACATCGAAGAACCTGACGACGGTTCTGTACGTCAGCAGAGGTTCTGGACCATGAAACCAAGAAGGATGTGACGGACGAATGAGAAGATGAATTAAGAGCAAACAGATGGTGGACCCGCCATGAGACACTGAGGACTTTTAGAGACAGGAACTAGACAAAACTAGAAACAGACTCGGGAACCCAGAACAGAAACTGTATCATCTGGTTCTGGACTCAGGTCTGGGGGGAAGCAGCTTGATCAGGGAGGTCCAGCTCCAGATCCTCTGGAGGACTCCAAGGTGTCCCCAGACCAGCTGAGAGACAGTTCTTCCTTGGGGTCTCCTCCCAGTTGGACATGTCCAGAGCACCTCCCTATAGAGGTGTCCAGGGTCCATCCTGACCAGATGACTGAACCTCCTCAGCTGTCTCCTCTGGATGTGGAGGAGCAGCGGTTCTACTCCGAGTCTCTCCTGGAGAACTGAACTTCTCACTTGGTCTCTAAGGAGAGTCCAGGTACCCTGCAGAGAGAACTCCTTTAGACCTCCTGGATCCAGGTTCTGGTTCTTTCTGTCTCTACCTGGAGTTCAGGACCACAGGTGAGGGAGGAACGTAGACCGAACACAAGCCGTGAAGATTTTAGCGTTTCCTGTTAAAGAGCGACCAACAATCACCGGACGGAGCCTCACGTTGACGTCTCATCTGTCTTATAAAAGGCTTTGTGCTCAGTTTGTGTTGTGGACGACTGTCGGCTACTACCACACTAGATTTCAGCTCCATATCTGCTGAACTGACTGCGTCGCAGCACCGTTTGTTGCCATGGTGATGGCGGCCATCTTAAACTCATTTCAGGAGTTTCCTGTTTCTCAAAAATCGTTGAACACGTTTGGTGTCCGAGGCACAGACGCATCAAAAGTCTTGCGTTGATGTCTCATTCTGCGTCTCTGTGTTGTCCCCATCTCTGTCCTGTAGGAACCGTTGTCCCTGCTGTCCCCCACGCTCGAATCAGGACGAGGACAATGTCCCTTCAGTCCCAGGGAGCCCTTCACAGCCCGGCTGAGCGGTAAGTCTCCACAGCAACCACTCCTCCTGCCTCAAAAGAAGACGAGTTGTCCTCTGCTGTCCACGTGTCCCGAGGACACCAACTGTCCCTCTGTCCAGCCACTTGCTGCAGATCATCGGCCCCGCTGAGGCGCAGGGGGTCCGATTGAGTTCTGGGACCAGCTGACGTCAGACTCAGCCGCACGCGTCCCGAAGAACATTTTAATTTATCACCGAGACAGACGCCTCATTAGAGCAGAAAACCACGGGTCAGAACCTTCAGAACCTTTAAACGGGTTCGACTGGCACCAGAAGGTCAGAACCTTCAGAACCTTTAAACGGGTTCGACTGGC